TTGGGGTGTCCACATACTTTTGTTACGCACTGTAGTGGGCTGGGCAATAGTGTGACTTTCACTAATGACCTCCCCTTTTTTTCAAAGCTATGCTAACGCGGGCTGCGTTCATACCTGCGTCAGCATTCGAGCTGTACTAGCAATCTAGCGTCTCGATAGTATGGCGGCAATTGAGCGTTTTGCGGGTTCGATTTTTCGCGGGCGATCGCAGCGCGCTCAAAAGGCTGACGCGAGTGTGAAGGCAGCCTAAGACTTTGGGAAAGAAAGCCTTCATAATTTCGTTTGGACAGTTACTCAGCTTGAAAACAGATCTGAGGACAGCTTCACAGAATTTTTGGTGATCAAGGTCATAAAGGGCCTTTCTGACCTGGAACCTCTTCCAGCTCTATATTTCAGACGGTTTACGTATAGATGTTGTAGAAACATAATGCTTCACGAACGACCAAGTGTTTCAGAGTTTCCAATATTCAGTATAGTGCTCAAGCGGAAACGAAGGAATCAGAAGATGTGACAATAAACAGCTGTACTTCCTTTCTTAAGGTGACTATTTGTTTTCCACTCACTCGCCGAAAATTACGAGCACATTTCAATATTTAGGAAATATACTTGCATGATCGATCAATCATAGCGAGATATTGTACGAGGCACACCAATCACGATGTCAGCGCGGCTAAACTTCCCCTTTCAAATGCTGACAAAACCATCATTGCGAGCTATCTGCGGAAGGGCCTCAATGTAAAGGCTACTGCAAACATGATACCGCGAGTCTACACCGATCCGAGAACCAAGCTTCATTGGATTGTCACTAGTGAAATCGAGCAGGTGCTGTCAAGTCTCAAATCGGACCAGCGCAAAGTCAAGGAGGCGGTAGATCTCTGTGAGAAAGAAAAAGGAAGGTGCGTTCATACAAACTCAGGAGCTTTTTTACAGAGAAACGAAACCCAGTGATCATTAATCGCTTTTTTGTCGAAGATTTGACCGAGGGTAGCGCATGGGCACACGCTCCGCGGCAGCGATCTATACCGTTCTTTCTGAGTCACGGCATCGCACGATTTCCCAAGGTCGTTAACATGAGGCTACGTTCATATTTTGCGTAAGCGTTTCGAAGGTTTAGAGCGTAGCAGCGCTTTGTGGAACAAGGGAAGTATAGGTATCGATCTGGGGCTTCGAGAGTACGCCAGTGTTTTTAGCGTTTCGCGAGTGGTTTTGAACTCTTTGCGAGCAGTTGCTGAACACTCTGGCACGCGGTCGGAACCCTCCTATTACTGGCGTACGCTACATCGCTACCTGTACTTTCCTCGAAACGCCGCTGTACGCTCAAAGGCTCAAAGTACTGGCGCGAAGTATGAACGCTGCCTGAGTGATACAGACGCGAAGAGAGTCGGCACACTGCAGCGCTGCCACTTCAAATGAGTTGGGTCTTCGTGGATACTGCACACCATTATCGCTCCTGTCGCTACTCGGAAGCAACGATATATACCCGAAATATGGCCTCATTGGGAGAATCCTGGGAGGGGGTCTCCCGTTTGATGCGTGAGGCTCTTGTCTGTACTCGAAAGGAGTTTCCTCCCCGAGCTGCGAGAACTCTCATCCGCTTATTGACGAGGTCAGTAATAAGAGAGGATAGTACTGGAACAGGGAATTCGGATAAGGTACATACTACCTCCTCTTCCTCTATTCCCTGTGCTCCCACCCATGTGCTTTACAGTACTCCCACCCATGCGCTTTACAGATGTAGCAGATCAAACTATGTTCCTCACTATGCAGATGAAGATATTTTTAATCCTCTCACAAGAATTCCAATTTAGTATCAAAATGGAGGTTTCTGGTCCTGAACTGGTCGACGGGAATCATGAAACTGAAGCAATCTCCGCCTCAGATCTGCTCCAGGCGCCATCCGATAGCGAAGATGATACAAACTGTGGTGTTGTCAGCGAAGAAAAAATCGAGGAGCAGTCTCCGAAACCTGGCAGTTTGGCTGAATCACCGCTTGGTTGCACGTCTTGTACAATATTGCACGAAAGGGTGAGAAATGATCGTGCTATTGCATTGGTTTTCATCTGATTGGAGGATTTGCAGATTGCTGAGCTTGAGGCTATAGCGAAAAGATTGAACGATAGAGTAATGAAGCTAGAGGGAGGTCAGCTTTTTGATGCCTTGGTGAAAGCGGAAGAAACAACTTCTCAAGAATTCAGTAAAGCAGTGAAGCAGGAGAGAATCTGAGGAATCTGTGTGAGATATTACTAAATTGTTGTCACCAGATATTGTTTGGTGTGACTAATTTTGAATAATATCCGCTACTGTGTTCTCCTCTCATCCATGCTGTACATATCATGTTGTGCTCACCAAGTTGAGCAAATGCGATCAGCGGCGCTCCATTGCTCGCGCAGTCGTTGGACCAGTGCGACATTAAATTTTGACATTCCTGCCTTGACATTTTTTTTCCAAGCGTGCTCGCTCCTTCGCTAGTTCTGTTTCTAAACTGTTATTCTTCATCAAGTTGAACGCAAGGTGGGAAGATGTTTTGTTTGATGAATGTGAC